TCATTATCAATAAGAACCAAACAGGCAGTTTTTATAATCTCCACGCTATATCCTCATTGAATTTTACATTTTGAAGTACATTTATTAGATAATCTTTGAATTTCAGAAATCGCGGCCATTATCAAGAACATTGCAACTCAGGCCCTCGGGACAAACGTCGCACAAGAAACATAGCGAGAAAAAGACCGTCGACCGTTCAGACCTTTTTGCAGGGAAAACTCAACAGAAGGTAGACTAAYGCTTGAGTTGCAATGATTKAACGAATGTCGCTTGTAGCCATGCAAAGTCAAGTGAGAGGAAATGTCCTTTTTGTATTGCTTTGGGCTTCCTGTGTTACMTGCGAGGRARRTGAATGCRTTTGTATTTGTCAGCAAACGCCCTCTGATRATCACTTATTCATTCGTAGAAATCATCACCACGCCGTCCACACACAGCTATAGCGAACTTTACCAAACGGTACACATCACAATTTGTAGAGCCAAAGCTTCCTGGGCTTCCTTCGAGTAAACACGACCAGCCAGAGAAGCCTCCAACMCCWAAAGGTGAGWGGAATTTTTATTCTGTTGGTGTGCWCAAACGCTCCTTGATATGATATGTATTGAAGTGATATTTGAACAGATGRTGAMACACATAGTGCCGCGAAATGTACTGATTGCCCAACGATGTTCAATGSCGGTTTGGTGTTCGAGCAWTTCTTTTGAGCCGTAACTTTAGTCTTTTTTCCGTTGTAGAAATGATAAATAARCCGTTCAGAGAAKCAAAATCTGATCCATTGTCAGCATCAAYGACGAGAGAAAGAACAGACTCGACAGGTTCWGCTACTGGACGAACAATGAAATCATTGAGTAATGAAYTGAAAACAAAATTAACACGACCGCGAACACGGTCACGGCAAAGCGTCGAGGAACTCGAAAAGGTAAATATTTCTTTTCTCTCTCCCTTGATTTATGTTCTGTTTGTCCTCTTTTCCTTTTCTSMCATCCATTTATCCGTACTTTCCATTTTTTATTCTTGCATTCTGTTTTTCTATTTTTTCTTTCAGCTCCTCCTAATTTTTGTCACATTTCATTTCTCACATTTTTTAATCCCTAATTGTTTTGATTTCTCYTGCCGTCATTTCCCTGTCCCTTTTCTTTGCATCCTCTTTCTCCCGTTGAAACATTTCTGACTCTTTYACTCCCTCTGTCCTTTTTTATTTTTATTTTTCTCTTTCCTTTCTCCCTTCCTTCATTATTCTTTTTGCTTTTTAAACAAAACTAAATAGGTAAAGTGAGCTTTTYCTTTCTTTTTCTTTCTACTTTTAATGACATTTCTCATTTTACAGGACCATCAACGTCTTCAAATCCAAGTGTCTGAATTGAATAGTGAAATAGACAGAATGCAAGGCTTGTATTTATACTGCGGAAGAAAGCTCGATTCATACATAGGTAATTCTACCCTCTTCCCCCAGACTCACTGTTATTATGCCATTTCACGGGATTCCTGTGTAATATAYGATAATGCATATTTAGGTTTGCTGCAAGAGGAAATCATGAGAGATGCCGAAGCAGATCGTGATGTGATTTATCTTTCTTTAGCTGGACTTAAGCAGGTCAGTGCAGTTAATTAAGATCAAAGGTTAAGTTTTCGAACTTAACATTCTCAACGGAGTGAACTGTCAGTTAATGAAATATTTCACAGAGTTCGATAAGCTATATATAAAACAGTGGATATTAAAGGCTCTGTCAACAACCCGTTTTCTTGTTATTTTTGATGTTGCTACTATTGTTGCTGTTGCTGTTGTGGTGGTGGTGGTGGTGGTGGTTGTCGTTTGTTTTTTTTTGGACACTACTCCAAAGGCAATGAAAAGGCAATGTCGTTCCCAGGCTACTCTCTGTCAGCTCAAATTCAATATGGCCGACGTTCATGAGTCAAATGAAAGTGACGTCAGTAGCCTTGGGACGATACTATATTGACGTAATTTGCGCGTKTTKWCAGGTGCGTGATCTGCTCAAGGGGACACTGTCTTACCGAGGGTCCTCGATGGAAACTGAGAAGGATTTCTTTGATATTGATAAAGGAATAGCAACAAGGTTTGTAATATTAACGATTATCACGTTCAGTAACCGATAATTCCACCAATTTAGTCAATCAATCAACTCTTTAATTAATCAGTAAACCATTTAATTGATCATTCATTCAATCAATTAATCCATCAATTAATTTACCATGTATAGCCAGTCAGTTGTTCATGATCTAAATGAGGAGTTCACCGATAGCAACTTGGATTACTGTGAAAATAGCTCAAAAATACTTTCGTTCTCCATAACAGTTTCTCTTTTCTCAGATTACAGATAAGTTCTCCAAATGTTCACCCAGAGGACCCCTCAAGGGTTGACACACAAGGCAAAGACCATCAGTCAGAAACTTCCTCTTTATCAKTACCCGATGATAATATAAAGACTAGGAATCCTAACAATGAAGCACAACAAGCAGAACATGATCAAAATATTTCCAAGGAATGCYTTCCTGAATCTCACAGTATAAACACTACGTTCGGCGATGAAATATCCACGAATGTCAATATAACGGCTTCACCTGTRTTGTGTACACTCAGCAATCTAGATTCTTACATTGAACAACATTTTAGCAGTTCAAATCAACCTTTGACCGCTGTTTCGTGTGCAACAGGTTCAACAATGAGTTGTAGTGGTAGCTCAGATTTATCAAAGGATTTTCTTCAAGATATTAGCAACGTCTCTACACCCGACGAAACTCTCACTAAAGACTTTGTGTTTGTCAATCAAGACGGAACGGCAGTCAAAAGCGCCGAAGTCTCTCCGAGACTCTCKCCTACTCATCCTTTGATGGAAATTGATGAAAATGACTCTTAAAAAGTCATTTTTTTAATAGGATTGATTGCATTCATTTTGAATTCACTCTTGATTATTATACGGTCGCCATTTTGAATTATGAAGAAGAAGGTAAAGATGGCAGAATCTACTATAGAATGGTATGGAAAAAAACCTTTCTCGGTGATTTCTCAATGTTTGCCACATTTTATGGTATAATACTGAACCTCGCAGTCTTCTCAAAACCATAAAGTGTTGGGCATATACATACTTTCTAAATTCAAAATAATAGAACTCAAACAGTGTCGRCCAAACTGATAATAATGTCAATTTTTTACTCTTAATCTTCCGAATACCTTTGAATAACCAACCACAAATATGCAGAATATTGTACCATTTAATAAGTTGTGATTTCAAAATGGATCTCATTTTGTCAGTGGTCATACATTTGCTTAGCTCAATCATGAAAGAAAATGCTCTTCACGAAGGTGATTTTGAAATCCATCGTATGATTTCAAACGGAAATACTCAGTCTTCGACTATTTATGAAGGGGCAGAAAAGATTTTGGAATTTTYATAGGAAATGAATAATGTTTTAAATTCAGAATTATGGTACTAGTATACCTTGTATATAGTTTATCAAATGAATTTATTAGTAAAGCGGCGAGGGCTGATGTAGCAATAATAAAATCAATCAGAATGTAGCACTTTTTGAAATATCTTTATGAGCTAATGAAGAACGTAATGCGATAACTTGCAGTATACGCTAGCTGGTACGTAGCGAACCTACCGAACGTTAGAGCCAGCAGGCGTGGATTAGAAAACCAGGAAAACAGGCCGTTCCCAGGTGGAACCGTAATGCCTTTATAACCACTTTGACAGAGATGACATTATTTCACTCGGTAATAATCGAAGAGACGGATTTTTCTTTAGAAAAAAAAACAATTTTTCTACTCGTGAAACACGCCAACGTCGTTTCTAAGAAAAGTCGCGCGAAATTTGATATGTATACTTGTACATTCTATGAAAATCTCTCTATATGTAAAATAGGTAGTCCGATTCACTAAACTGCTCGAAGTCGAAATTGTTAAATTTTGATATTTTTATTTTGATATAGACAGCTATCCTTATCAATCGCTCATTATTATGAATCAATATGAAYTCAAGATGACGATCTATTACCATGAATTTTAAAAGCTACGCGTCGAGTTATTATTACAATTATATTTCATTACAGTTTATCAACTTTYGAACGTCATTATCGAATGCCCAATGATTACGTTCTTTTATGCAATAAAAAAAGCTCTATTTTACGCGGTTATCAGTTTCCTAAAAAACGAAATTTACATCTGTCATTGTTCTTCCCGAGTTCAGGCGATGATGGATCCATGACTTGTCCTTCGTCATCAAACGCCAGGAAGTGTGTCGTGCTGTTCACATGGGAAATCCACGGCTGAAGGCAGATTTTGTTCTCTTCGATATGCGTTTTCACAAATACTATCCCATGCTCCTTTGCGGTRTGGATTTTTGTTGCTTTTGACACGTGACACTCCTATCAAACGAATGAAAAATACAGTTGTGGCGGAAGATGAAAATTTGTCATTTTATCGATTAGTTTCAGTGACGTAGTGTTGCCTGAGTGTATGACGTCATCTCAGACATGACGTGGTAGTCGATACAGTTTTACAAGGCAGAAGGCTAGGGTCTTGCAGCTATAAGTTGAAGCGCGTCAACTATACATTCATCAGGAGTTTCGAACAATGCTTCCACCATCTTGAAAAGTGGGACTGTAATCACTAAATTATAACTCCTAAGCTAATNATTATACAATTATTTAACGGCGGACTCACAAAAACGGAAGTTTCTGAACGGCTTCGCGTAACTTTTCGGTGCGTAACAAACGTCATAGAACATTATCGTCGGTATGGCTCTGTCAATCCGTTAGGACATAGCGGTAAGCAGCCTGTTGCTTTGACATATGATATTCTGGAGGACATAGAGGTTTGGAAGCATCAGAAACCATCCTTGTATCGTCGACATCGTGAAACAACTTTTGGAATGCACTGCCGCGAACGAGTGAACGTCATTCCCGCGCTTTACCCAACATGAACTTCGTTTTATTATTGGAATAATCCAATCAGGAATCGAGGTTCAAATCGACATCAGATTTGAAATTTACATTGTCGGTTTTGTTTTTGCACATTTAAATATAAATTTGGAACCAAATTTGGAATAATAAATCGAGCCTTCCAACCTCGATAGGAACGCTTCAGTAGGTTTGGCTGTAATTGACCTAACATGCAGCCACTTGAAAAAACTTACGGAAAAGTCGGTACGTAAGTAATACAGCACACACAAAGCGTTTCCGTGATCAAAGAGTTGCGGCCGCGTTTTAACCGTTGGAGCATAAGTGATCCGAGGCAATAAATTACAAATGTTTCAATTCAATACGTTCCACCTGTACAACCACTCACTCTATTTCAATGATAATTAAAAATTTCAATTCAACTGAAAAAATTATTATCAATTGACAAAAAGTTCCCTAAACWTTGATTTTGATCAAACCAGTATATGAGAACTGGAAAAAAAAAAGCCACTACCAGAGCCGTATCCGTTGACTTCCGTGGATTAGTCTCCTTTGCAGCCGGTCACAAATCTCATTCAAAATAACTGTTACATGCGAAAGAGATAAGTGAACACAGTTTCAAATGACGGAGCAAAGATCATTGSCTATTATTTGCGGGGCTATTTGCTTTAACGGACACACGTTAGGTTCGACCGCGTACCAGTTTAAGAGAAACACCACATTAACTCTATCAAATAGTCATTTTTTATSAAAGCTTAGAAATCGCGTGTGGTGTGAACAGCTATGTAATCAATGAAAATTTTAATTGATATTTTCTTAAAGAGGCAAAGTTGTTCAAAATTAATTGGTACAGTGCCGCATGTGAGTAAATAAATAGGGCAAGGTCAAGTCATGAGCGATCAGTTCTAACTTAGCACTGCTAACGAAAGAGAGACATTGTGGTCATGATGTTGAGACTGTTGGGGTTTTTAGTTTTCACTTCGTGGTTTCTGGGGTTTTTAGCGAGACCAGAGTACATTAAAGATGTTCAGGCTGAGGAAAGGTAAGTGCAAGCTGCACATGAGCTGCAAAGAAGCGACCAAGTAACGCTACTAGCTAGTTTTATAATATCTTTTACTCCATATCTCCATATCTCTCCCTCTTTCTTTTCTTGTATTTTTCTTCTCCTTTCTGGTTATTTCCTTCCTTAAATTTTTTCTTCCTTTCACCTTTATTTGGAATTTCATGTCGCGTTACCTCGCGTTTACTAAGTCTTCCTTCCTTCCTTCCTTCCTTTCTATGGCTTTAAGCTTCTTTCCTTCCGACACTCTTTCTTTCACCTTCTATTTTCCTCTTGGCTCTTCTACTTTGATTTTATTGGTCGATGATAAAATTCAAGGCAATGAAATTTCAGCAACTGCTATCTTCATTCTTAATTGTCTCTTCCCCGATATATTATCCAAACTAACAGCAAAATTTTAATTTTTCTTTTTCTCATCCCCACCCCACCCCCATAAAAGATACATTTTTGAGCTTTATCATTCTCGTGTTATGAGCTTGATTGAATTTCAAAATGATGAAATAGTGTCACGCAATCTTCGTTTAGTGTGTAAACATCTGSTATCATTACATTTGAGTCGAAAAACACTCTTTGTCTACAAAAAATCGTTGAAATATTTCAACACTTGGCAAAAAAAATAACTTTCAGAAGATTTTCAGCGGTTTTTAGGAAAACTCTGGTTTTTCGGACACTAAAGAAGGGGTAAGCTGTTATAATAATTTCAACGTCTTATGTAGTGGCTTCCTAAGCGAATTCATTCGTCAAACGTCCCTGGAAAGGTCTCATTTCGATTACTTATTTGATGATAAAAAATATCTAAAGTCTTTTTTGKTCTGCAAATTGCAATCATTTAGATCTAGCGCGTCGTAGCGACAGGATAGCTAATCGTCATACACATGTTGATTTTTGTGCTCTTTCTTTGCTTAGAAATATCAACAGCACTGTGTTCATTAACTGCAGTAGTACTAAATTAATAAATGTGTTTTTCATACTGCATTATAGAGCGAGAAAATTAAAAGTAGAAACGTTTTTTGACAATGAAGTTTATAATTAACATTAAGGTGACAAAGGGGGTATGTTTTGTACATGTCACGCGTCACGCCATTACGATGTACATGAAGGTGCGGATGCACCCTATCCCTCCCCCCAAAYTTTCCCTTGAAGGTTGCTGTTACATCACTTTAATAGATAACGGAAAATGACRTCATATCAAGTTTATTCAGTTTCCCTTTCTATTCCAATGTTATTGTTTCATATTTATTAATTTTTATACGTATTTTAGCATGGAGAGCAAGAAGCAAGTGATTGTGGTATCTCTACCTGGTGAGAGTGATCAACAGTACTATGGTTTCCATAAGCATCTCGCAAATATCTACATCCAAATGGACAATCTTACCGARGGAAGAGATCACTTGTTTATTCTCCATGACAAGTCTGGAAGATGGTATTTAAACCGCCATGATTTCAAGAATGCCCACCTCATTGAAGTGAATCCATCGTTGGACATGTGGATGAGGGATTTCCCACCAACTGTTCCAGAACGTCAGGTCAAATTCAGATACAAACCAGGGTATATCAAATCATCGCAAGCAAAGAAAGATCAGGCTGCGTTTGATGTCTTTGCTGAACAAGTTGGTTTGCCTCCCTTGGATCACTGCAACATTATTMTTGAAGGGGGAAATATAGTGGACAATGGCAAGGACATTGCACTTGTTTCTGATAGAGTATTCAAAGAAAACAAGGGCATGAGCAGAGATGCTCTCACAGAGAAATTAGAATCGGCTATMAAGAGGAAAGTAGTTTATATACCAGACTCTGGTGAAACCACAGGTCATGCAGACGGAGTCGTTTCGTTTGTAGAAGAAGACGTTCTTCTYGTTGCTTACTATGAAGAYGACAAGGARTACTTCGAAATGATAGAAAATGAGGTCAGRAAAGCTTTTGGAGATCAGATCAAAGTTGTACCATTACCATGCTATCTGGAAAAGAAGACMTCCCATGGTTTTGGATCTTCTGAAGGCTCTTATGCCAACACTGCRGTTACAAATAATGCTGTTTATGTTCCTATGTTCTCACGTCAAAGCAGCAACAGAAAAGCTTTGGAAGCTTTCCAGAGATTTACCAAGAAAGACGTGGTTCCTGTTCCTGGGCTTGATAAAGTTGCTAAACTTGGTGGTAGTATTMGGTGTATGTCCTGGCAAATTGACCAAGACCATCCAATAGCAAAGAAGCTGTTCCAGTATGTTGAGGGCAATGCATCTGGTGATTTTGAAGATGATCATGATGACGGAGATGATGAACACTAGAAGTTCCTCTTGACAAAAGTATATTCACTTCGACTTATATGATAGTAATATATATATATCCATCCATTGATTGCTAGGGGATTACATTGCAGGTTCGCATATACATGTATTTCATCTTAGAGTTTTGCTGAAGAAGGCCGAAGTGCCGAAACGTTCATTAAAAAGTAGAAAACCTAGTTACAAGTTGCGTGGCTTTTTCTTCATTTATTCTATTTATGTATTTCATCTTATATGTAGTTTTTGACGTAGTTCGTTCCCGGCATACTGACTAGTGAGGTCCAAGTAAAGATATCATATAAATAAAATTATACCAAAAATTATTATTGTTTTTATGTTTTTTGTTTGTTTGTTTGTTTGTTTGTTTCTCTTAATGAACTTTGTCCTTTTTATGTATTTTGCCATGAGGGAGAAGTAGACACCCCGACGTACATGCGCTTCACTTTCAACTCGACATATTCGCCCCAATATGCTACAACTTGCAGTCTTGCATGCAATATTGTTCTAAAGTAATCCGATCACTATGTTGTTAGGTATGCCTGGGCATGCCTGGGGGTCATATGAATGAGTCCTTCCTTAAAATCAAACACCAGTCGGCTTGTACTATGCAGTATTCAACATTTTCTGAAATAGAGGACATTATATGGGCGCGCGGAAGTACGGATTTTTTCTTCGAGTGTTAAAAAGATTCTCACGCGCGAGTGAGCGTAGCGAACGAGTGAGGAGGGATTTTCAACACGAGAAGATAAAATTCGTATATCCAAGCGACAATGTAATATTCTGTTTATCATATAATTATATATGTAAGCAAGTTATGTAGTAAAATACCTTTTTTAATTTCCAATATAATAGAGAGAAATATAGATATGTTACAGTATATGATAAATAGTTATATATGCTTGTCAAACTGAAACTTTTGAATTTCTGCATCTGTTTATGTTTTCAAGAAGCGATTCAGAAATGTAGGAATTCCCATGTGTACTGAATCAGTCCCGCACTTCTTAATATTTGTGCGCTGGATTGCCGCATAGTTTATGTATCTCGAAACGATCGAGATGTTTGGAATAGGCCCAAAAAACTCTTGTGACCCGCGTTTCAATTTAGTGGTTTTGGTTGTGACGGCTACGTCATCGGGGTCGGTTACCTTGACTTCAGTGACTTCCAATTTCCAAGTCAAGTCGTGTTGTTACAAGTCTTCTCCATCTTTTGCACACTGTTCAGGGCAGATCATACCGCCGCAGGAAGCCTCGTTGGGAATATCCTTACCAGGTATGTATAGTGGTCAGCTCTTGATATACGGTACGATGGTTATTGCGTGGACGCATTTTTTGTCATTCCTCTCAGCCTGCTAAATCTAACTGCAGTAGAATCACTTCACATTTTCCTCCTTCCAAAGACCTTGAAAGCATGGCAGGCATGGAGCAAGCGTTTATCGATATAACTTTAACAGCCAATAATAATCCCCGTATAATTCTGATTGTCATAAACAAGTAACAATTGAATTATTTAGCCTTTTAGTTATAAATTCTCGATGTTGATTTGTTGTTGTTGGCGAACACCAGTTTCATGAAACAGTGTCACGCATCACGCCAAAAAATTCGTAATTTAACCKCGAGTGATAGATGCATTTAGTCACAATCTGTCGCTTAGCGCTTTCTTCTTAGCAATGCATTTTATTCGATGCAATGAATAAAACAAAATCAAAACAACAACTAAAAACAACATAGCTCTATCCGATGACATTCACCTTCTTGAAAATTTGGAAGTGAACCCTCATTTTTGACGGCTTCAAATATTCTTCTRGCGTTTTAGTCGTGGAACTGCTACGTCATCGCCAGGATCATTATATTATCATAATTCCATTTCAAGCCCGGTCTCACCAAGTTACGTTGCTACGTCTTCCAGTCTTAACCATCGCGTATTATTCTGTGTGCCTTGCTCACTAGGATACACCACGAGCCTCGTCAGAGAAGTTGTCCCAGTTTCTTTAATACCTTTCCTAATGTAACGCGAAGAAAATTGATGAAAACTGTTTACGAAGCAAATCAGCTATTTATTACATAAATTGGCAATCTTAGGTAAGTGTTGATATTGGTCAGGYCTTGATTAATATGCTTCAAGAGATYTATTTTATTTTCGTTGTATGGAAAYGTTTTTTGGACTCCTAGACTACTACAGGTGAATTAGGCTTTGGAACAAAGCTTTCATTTGAATTTATCACTGTTACAACACAGTTTTTCGGCTTGCCATACTTAGCGCTATGGTCTTTCTTAATGACCTGCGAAAGTTATTTCGAAAAATCTCGCTGTAATGTTTGATTGAAATAATAATAATACATAAATATGGCCATTTATAACGGAATCTAGTATGCAAATATAGTTTCCGAATTAGTGTAATTTATCCGATAAAGATAAATAAGTTAGATAATTCATCGTCATATTTATCTGCAGTAGAAGAAGAAACAAGTTTGAAAGCGGGTGAGCCAARCTTTTCAGGTGTAACGTATCACGCATGCKCACGATAACTGCGCAGACGGCCAACATGGTGCGCTATGTAGCCTGTTTCCCTGGACTTTACTTTAATTCATTTCTACTACATATAATTGTTTGATATTTGGAAATATTTTTGATTTAAATTTAGTTATATTATGCATATTTTAGCATGGAAGACAAGAAACAAGTGCTTGTAGTATCTTTGCAAGGAGAAAGCGATCCCGATTACAATGGGTTTCAAAAATATCTTTCGGATATCTACATCCAAATGGACACTCTAACTAAGGGTAGAGATTATCTATTCATTCTTCATGACAAGTCTGGCCGACGATATTTAGATCACCATGTTTTCAAGAACGCTCATCTCATTGAAGTGGATCCATTCGTAGACATGTGGGTGAGAGATTTTCCACCAACGGTCCCAGAACGTCAAGTCAAATTTATATACCAACCAGGGTATCTTAAACCATCTCAAGCAAAGAGAGACGAGGACTCTTTTGATGCGTTTGGAAAGCAGGTTGATTTGCCGCCATTGGATCACTGCAACATCATCCTTGAAGG